ATGTTTAACAGTTAAACCATTTTGACCAAGTTTTAATATATTACTGCACCAAAATGAACTTAAGTAAAACAAAAGAAGCCATATTGCCCAAATTAGGCCCCGCCTGTGAATTTGATATGCTTGGAAGTTAGCACATTCAACTTTGAAAATGTATCAACCACTCCATACAGTACACTATTTTGAAGTAACATAAAGAAGTTTCATAGGGAAAACTAATCCAACAATACTTGTAGTTTTAATATGATTTTGAATTCCTCAACCTCTGTCCTTCAGTGAGCAGTGTGGCAACAAACTCTTCAATTCCCCAACCTCTCTCCCTCCTCCAGTCTTTCAGGAGAGTTGGGTGATATCTTCTTGTAGGAGTTTTTGGGCTAAATAATAGTTTTGTACTTTTCAGTCCTAAATGTAAGACCCTTATGCTAGTGTATATAAAGGTCTTATATTTAGAATCGGAAAAGTATAATGGAAACAAGCAAAAATATATGGTTACTTTGTTTGCCCCCGTTTTTGTTCATCAAGGGGGAAAAAAAAGAGGTAAAGAATAATATGGCAGCAGCAAATAATTTCTCATATGGCATATATTCCTTATCCAGTTAATATTAACACTACAGTAACCTGTGATAGGAGGAGGAGGAAGAGTGCCGATTGTAGGGACTAACTGTGCAAATGGTGATTTATAAGCGTCTAAACTGTAAGGACCACACTGAAAAAAGAGATAAATTATAAGGACTTTCAAATTAGTTTTTCTTAAAAAGTACTCTATCCGCCCTTATTATAAGATTTAAATAATCAAATTGCATAACTTAAGAAAACCATAAAAGTAGTTAATAAATTAAAGGTTAAGCTGCATTCAGCATTCAAATTTTTTTTTTTGTGTATCCAGTACATTAAAGTATTTTGTGGTTCATTCATCATCCTAGAATTTTTTTTCTCTTGGTTTGGATACACCAAAAAGTATTTTGGAGTGCTAAACGCCTATGAAAAAAATTCTTTAAGATGCTGCATGCATTAAAAAATAATTTAAGGTGCTGGGCACACTTGAAAAAATATTTTAGCATGCTGGATATACCTTAACTCTAAATTAAATTATTCATAAACCTTTTTTTATAATTGCTTTGTGCCTGCTCATTCTTTATGAATTCGTTTATAGACATATATATATATATATATATATATCTTTTTTTAAGTTCTAGCTTAATTATTATCACATACTAAAGCTTGATAATTGCTCATCAAAATTAAAGTGGCCATTGTAACATCCCGAATTTTGGGCCTAAAGGTACCAGAGTTAGCCTAAAATGAACGGGCTATTAGACCCTCATTAGCAGGAGTTCTAAAAATTCCTTGGAAGGACAAGACGATTTCTAGAGACCAAATCGCAAAGTAAGAATTTTCTAAAACTGCGAAACGGGAGCAGGTTAGAGACTCCGATGAAATCTTAAGGACTTAAGTATGGGAATTGGAGATGATTAAGAGTCAGAGGTTGTGCTGGGAATCTTAGTGGAAGGATTCCTGAGGTTAAACCTAAACAAGGACCTAAATGTAAATTTGAAAAGTTTCGATTGAAAATTGAGCAATGATGCTTGGGCCCAAATATTTCAAAAAATTCCAAAAAAAAAAGAGAAATGAGGTTTTGAGACCCGTATGAGGTAAAAAATAATGAAAATATCCCTAGAACAAATTGATGAAATTCCTAGAGTTTTGGCTAATTATCAATAATGGCGGAAATTGAATTATTTAAAATATAAGAAGGTGTCAAAAAATTAGAGATAAATGAGAAATAGGTACTTAAAAAAATTATTACAGGTTTTAAAATGATTCTATCCCTAAAAATTAAAGAGGTTACAAGTTAAGGTGCTATATCGACCATCCCATAACTTTGTCAGCTTTATAATTGCTACGGGAAGCTTTGTGCATAGATATGTGTAAAAGTATTAAAGCAGTACGTTATGACTTCCTTTTATTCTTAACTGTGAGGACAATGGTGCTACTGGTGGTTATTATAGGGAGTGATTTATAAGCTTTTAAAATGTAAGGACCACATTAAAAAAAAGAGATAAATTATAAGGACTTTCAAATTAGTTTGTCCTAAAAAGTATTCTATCTGTCTCTTATTATAAGATTCAAATAATCAAATTGCATGACTTAAGAAAACTATTAAAATTAGTTAAAAGTAAAAAAAAAAATGTACTTTTTACATTTAATATTCAGCCAAATCCAAAGAATATTTTATAAAAACAACCAACCAAGGCAAAAATTTAAATTTTATAATAAGGGATGGATGGACTATAATGCCCTCGCACCCTCTAAATATTTCTCATTACTCCGAAGCTCAAATAGTCCGTTTGTTGCCCTTTTCTCATCTTTTGTATTAGTCTCTAAATGGCTTTTTTTATCCATATGATTATTGGGCTTTTAGATTTCAGTATGGCGCTATAAAGGGAAAGAGGAAAATGTGCTCAGCTGATTCACTTTCTACTACTTCCACTTTCAATTTCCTTTGCCTAAGACTTCTCGTGGCCATTAAATAAAAGGGAAAAAAGGTTAATCTTTCAACTCTGCATTTACCTGGCATACCAACTTGGCTATAATAACCACAATGAGCCAATTGTTGAGCGGATTAAGAAAATTTCACTCCTCTGCTTTTACTTTATAGAGATGACAAACTGGCTTTACAAAATATTTGAGTTTTAGAATATTTTAGAGTTTCTCTGTCTTATTTCCTTATCCAAAAAGAGGGGGGCCATAAGTTTGCAGCCTCAAAAGGAAAATACTACCTCTGGTATTTAATGTAGGAGCTGAAAACTAATTTACAAACATAAAAAAAATTAGTTTAGTTAATTATTTGTAGTAAATAGATGCTATTTTTTCTAAAATATCTTTAATAATTATATGTATTGAAACAATTATTGTATCATCAGAGATTACTTGGGGGCAAAATAAATAAATATAAAAAAATATAGATTAGAGTAGTATATTTAAAATAAAATTGAATCCCCAACTAGCTCTTATATTAAAAACAAGAAGTATTACAGTTTATAAGTTTAAGAGGTTTTCCTATCTAGTAAAACCAGTATTTAGAAATTAGACTCTTGAAGAGGGTGCATTGTTACGAGTCCTGTATAGGTTAGTTCTCCCACCTCACTGGCTAATTTGCTGGGATTGAATTTTTTTTTTTTAAGCTTGCACTTTGGTGCTCTTTCTTTGAATGTGAATCCGAGGAATAAATTGGAAATTAAGAGAGGAATGCTCTGGTCTTCGCCTTCTTCCCTTGGATTCCAAAACGAAGCAACATATAGTAGGGGACTCGTAAGTCGTGCAGCCTAGAACACGATGATAAAATAAAAGCAAGTCTTTCCTAAGTCTTTTTGGTCGTTTTCTCACACATACATGCCTGCAAAAGGTAAAATCGAGTCTAACAAAGCACTGAGGTAGGGTCACATGGTTCTGTCCTTCAGCAAATTAAAATGGAAAACAGTAGCTCCGTCCGTCACACGGTTTGAAATTTGAACGCGCAAAGACTGAAGAAAAGAGAAGACTTGAGCTCACACCCACCATTTTTGCTTCTCATTGTTTCTCCATTTTTCTTTCTATAAAATTTGTAACAGGCTGGTAGATCAGAGGTGTTTGGTTTAGCTTTTCAAAAGTAATTTTATGATATTTAAGATAAATATGTGAGAAAAATTTTGACTTATGTGAAAGTACTTTTTTTAGAGTGCTTCTACGATATTCCGGATGCCGGCTATAGCCATGCGCTTAATCATAGATAATGATTTCGCATGGTGGGATGCAATTTGATGGATTTCCTAATGAAAATTCTCTTGTATAGGATTATTAGTGAAAGTACCCTTTAATATTTTGCCCAAATTAGGCATTGATCTTCTCATACTTCAGAGAACTAGCTGAACAAATAAATTTGATTTAAATGGGCAAAGTATCACGAATTAGTCTTCATATTCATATAAACAGTTATCCTCCCTCATTTGTAAACATTTTTATGCTTGACATTCCTCGCCATTATTTTGCATGTTTGATAATATTAAGTGGCATGAGCGGCAAGCTAGAGATATATATGATTTACCAATATAAATAAGTAAAGAAATAAATAAAGACATTAATTAATTAGTGATAAAGTATACATTTGATTCTTTAACTTTATATAAGGTTTTAGTTTGGTCTTTTAATTTTAAAAAGTATATTTTTATTTCTATAATCATATAATCATTAATCATAAATGATGATTTTTTACAATAATCATGTTTGTGTTGAAAATCATACTAGTCATTTTAGAATCGCACTATCTCTTGAAAATCATTATACGTTTCTCTATCTTTGAATGTGTGGAAATTAAAAGAGGAATGCTCTGGTTTTCCCTTGCTCCTATTAAGTCTTGTGACAAAAAAGTAAAAAGGAAAACCTAATAACTGACATAGGGACCCATGGTTCTGCCCTTCAGCAAAATGGAACACTGTATTTTCGTGCGTAACACGCTTTCAAATTTGAGGTCCCAAAGACTGAAGAGAGGACAAAGATATGAGCTCATTGCCACCACTTTCCTTCTCACTGTTTCTCCATTTTTCATTCTATAAAATTATACCAGGCCGCTGGGCCTCATCTTATATCAGGCCGGTGGGAGTCGAACAAATCTTTTGATATTATTTCCTCTTTCAGGTTTCTACTTTCTCCCCTTCTCCTTTCTTCAATTATGATCACCGAAATGACTTGTTTAGATCTGTGAAATGTTGCTTTCAAATTATTCGTGAAGAGTAGATGACTCTTGCGGTGAGAAGAACCTTGTCTGTTGATGTTTCTATTATATCTTGTTTTAATATACCCAACGCCTATCTCAAGGCTTCGCATTGGATTGATTGCTGCACTCTTTGTTGAAGCTCCTATTATATATGTATTATTCTTTCTTTCTTCTTTCTTTTTTTTTTGTTTTGCCTTTATATATGTATTATTCTTTCTGGTTTTGTGTTTTTACTTTTGTTTGGGTTCAGATTCCAAATCCTTGCGATGGTGCGTCATGCTGATGGAGTTGGGGGTTCTTCAAGTTCTTCCGCTTCAACTAAGAGAAGGAAGTATGATGTGTTTTTGAGCTTTAGAGGGGAAGATACTCGGAAAAATTTTACTGATCATTTGTATGCTGCTTTAAAACGCAAAGGATTGAGAACTTTCCGAGATGACGAAGAACTTGAAAGGGGAGAATCTATTAATCAGGTTTAGTAGAAGCAATTGATGAATCTCATGGTGCAATTGTTGTGCTCTCCCCAAACTATGCTTCTTCAACTTGGTGTTTGGATGAGCTTCAAAAGATAAAGGAAGAGACAAGTCTTCAAGTATTTCCGATATTTCACGGTGTAGATCCTTCTAATGTTAGGAAACAAAAAGGAAGTTTTGCAGAAGCATTCACAAAGCATGAAGAAAGATTTGCTGAAGACAAAATAAAAGTGCAAAAGTGGAGAGATGCTTTAAAAAAAGTTGCTGCTTTATCTGGCTGGGACTCAAAAAATCGGTAACTTCCACTCTCTCATTAATTATCATCTCCTTCTTTTTTTGTTAAAAAAATAAGGGTGTAGATAACTAAATATTCAAATATATCCTAAATTATAGTTTAATCAAGGTCCCCCCCCAAAAAAAAAAAACAAAATGGCAACCCACATCCCCTCTTATTGAGGAGATTGTGGGATCTATTCTACTAAGGATAAGGTGCGTCTTATGCAGGGGGCCTGAGCCCCTAAAATAGGTGGGGGTGCCCTGCATGAAGATTTGACTAAAAAATATTATAAATATCATTTACTTAAATATAAAATACTTTAGTTTATTTTATCTTAATTATATAAACTTTTTATTTATTTTGAAAAAATACATTTAAGTTTAAATTATTAACTTTATTAAAAATATCTTTTAAAAATATTTTTAATTAAAATTTGTACTAAAATAATATTTATTTTCTAATTTAACTTTTATACTCAATTTCTAATTTTGATTAAAATTATTTTCAAAATTTTAAGTGTTTTCTTTTTTTCCTTAATTTTTTCTTGTAAATAATTATTTTTTTACTGTTTTTATCATAATGGGATAAAAGCTTAACATATATATAAAAACATTAAGAATTACAGTAATTTTTTTAATAAATATATATTTGACTAAATGCGTTTATAAATTCAGCCCAACAAATATATTTTTAAATTTATAAATTTTTATTACAAAAATATGTTTAAAAATTTTAAATTACAACTTTAGTTTATTTATATAATCTCTTAAAATGTATTTAAGTATATTTCAATACATGCAATGAAAAAGATAAAATTATACAATTTCGTTAAATAATCATAATTAATAATTAATAAATTTTATAACAATTTAGAAATTTTGAAAATATATGAATTAACATTATTTTCTATTATATGAAAAATTATGTTTTTGACAAATATAAATATTTGAATAATTTTTTATGTCAAATAGAGGTATTTTTGGTAAAACAAAAGTTTAAAAGTTAAATTTAATGGTTAATTAACAATTGACAGGATAAAAATAATGTATAAGATGCATTACAATTTTGAGGGGGTTTTATTTATGTTTTCAAAATAGAAATGATGTTTATGTACGTAATTGAGGTAAAACCAAGGTATTAAAAAGTAGAACGGTCAATAAGTCTATTTAATCAGTGGTTTGGATTTGGGCTCGGTTAGGATATATAAGTGGTAGGGAAAACCATTTTTTCTGGTCGCCCTTTGCTAAGCTAATATTAAAGTATAACCTATTGAAGCTCAGACAATTCTCCACTCACTAACCTAACGCTCACAAGAAACAAATCAAACCTGAAACTTAAACGCTCCTCATGAAACTTCCGTAATTGGATTAAAATCTACATAAATATCAAGATTTAGTGATAAAAATAATATTTAAATAAAAGATGTAATATGTTTCCAATTGAACTCTATCTAAAAAATAAAAAAAAACAATTAATATTAGCAGTAAAATACACATAAGAATTAAAAGAATAAATAAACAATTATATAGTTGGGAAAATAACAAAAAAACAAGTTAGAAATTGTAGTATTTCAATTTTGGCATCTAAAAGTTTAAAATCTCAAGAAAAAAAATAACGCATGATCTGATATTTTACAAATATAGTAACTGATTAAAATATTCTTGTGTCCGATTTTTTACAAAAAAAATCAAATTTGTCGTTGTTAGTATATTTCTTGTTATTGGTTATTCAATATTTATCATTATTAATTTACAACTTATTAATAAATAACTTGTTATTATCAGTATATCTTTTCTCATTTATTATTTAATACTTGTTATTACTAATTCACAATTTGTTAATAAATGTTTCGATATAAGGACATTTTGTCATTTAACTATATCTACACAATATCAAATCAAGTATCACTTTTTTGTTTTTGAAATTTTAATCTCCTAAGTACTTGAATCGAAATGTAATAATTTTTTACTTCTTTTTTTTGTCGTTTTCTCTATATAATTTGCATAACTTTATATTAGGGGTGAAAAAAAAAAATCTTTCCCCTGCTTCTCCACTGGGCGCCAACAGAGTATATTACATAATAATAATATGAGTTTTCAATTTCCAAATGACTTGGGACCTAAAAAGCAAAAATGAGTTTATATAGAAAAGTGTGAGAGAAGGATGTGACATATCACTGTTGAATCAATAAAAAGGCAATAAATCGTGACCATCCGTTTGAAATGAAGGGCGGCGATACAAACACTCCTCTTCCTTAGCACAGCCCTTTCAGTTCCAAATTCCAAGTTCCAGCGAAAAGGTGTTTTTGAAAAAACTATTTTTTAAGTAAAACGAGATAAATTTTTTTATATATTTTTATTTTGTACATTATAAAAATATTTTTACCCCTAAATCGAAAACCTCGTGCTCTTGCAACCTGGCTTTACGTTTTAGAAAGTCGAAGAAATGTGCGAGGGACTCGGCGTTTACCCAGAAAGAAGACCGGCTCAATAAGATGACGAGGCCAAGGGTCCGAATGGTTTTTTCTCTCTCTGTTTTTTTTTTCTTCTCAATTCTTCATCTTTTTTTTATCTTCATCTTTCTTTCATTTCTCCGGTTGTGTTCTTTTTTCCGCTGACGTTTGGGACTAAAACAGAAGGGTGATTAACGTTTTTATCTTTTTATTTAAATCCAAAATATAAATAAGTATCCTTAATTTTTATTGTTTGATATTTAACCCCTAAAAATATTTAGTAGATGACATGCAATTTTTACTAATTTATTTAAATTTAAAACTCATAATTACATCAAGAAATATTATGGAATTCTGCCAATAATAACTCTAGTCCCAATCTCACCCAATCGTATGGTTCTTTTAGCCTACCCTAGCTAGCAAGTCCTCCCATTTTGCAACGTCTTTATTCATCTTTTTGTCATTTTGTATATATAAAAAAAATCCATCATTCAAGCTTGCTTGTTTAGAGTCTGTTAATATCAATCTAGATTCTTTATTTTTATATGAGAAATGCATCACCTAATGTCATTGGCTTCCCAGAATGCAAATACTCCATATCCCAGAAGCTGCGTTTTGGCACTTGAGATTAATTTTTAATTAGGGTGTGTTTGGTATGAGGGATTTGGGAGGAAAGGAAAGGAAGGGAAGGGGAAGGATTTTAATCATTTTTCTTTGTTCAGCAACACACAAATTTTAAGAGGGGAGGGAAAATTTTTTAAAAAAATTTCTTCTCTCCCCTTTTCAACCTCTCCTCCAAAATTGGGAGGATTTGGAGGAAAAAGGCAATATTTTACCATGTTGTGACTATTATATCCATATTTTGCCATGTTGTAACTATTATGCCCATATCTTAAATGAAATAAGGTCAAAATTGTCCATGTTAAAATATTTTTCTCTCCCCTCCCATCATAAACCAAACAAGGTAATATTAAAACTCTTCCCCTCCTCTCTTTTTTTATAAATCCAAACAAGCTCATATTAAAATCCTTCCACTTTCCTTCCCTCCCCTTCATTCCATTAAAATCCCTCCCTTATCTTCTTTTTATTGAGCCAAACAACCCTTAGAGTCTTCAAAATCAGTTTGCTCGCTTAGGCCTATTTGGTTTGAGGGGACGGTGGGATAGGGAAAGGAAGGGGAGGTTTTATCCTCACCTTGTTTGATTTGATTAAAAAAGAAGAGAGGAAAGGATATTTAATTAATCCCTTGTTTGGTTCAAGGAGGGAGGAGATGGGAGGGATAGTAATAATCAATTTACCATTTTACCCTTACATATTAGTTTATATTTTTTATTGATATATTAATATTATACAAATTAATTTACATTTTACTTTAAATTATATAATTTAATGAAAACTCAGTCTTATCATGTTAATATATGCATTAAAAATTGGTACAGTAATTTTTTATTCTAATTAATATAATAATATATTTGAAATAATCAAATTAACAAATTTTATATGCTCTAAGAAAAATGAAATTTTATTCTCTTTAGGCTATCCTTTTTTCAGTTTTAAAATATTTTTAATAAATAATATATTTATAAAAAACAATTAATTTTATAATTTTATAATTTCTTATTTAAATAATTTTTTATTTTTAATTAATTTTTGTAATAATATATTTTTATTTATAATAATTTATATTTTTTATTTTTTACTTAAGATAATATATTTTTATTTGAAATAAATATTATACGAATATATTTTATGAGTAGTAGTGGAATATTAAAAAAACTATAACGATATAATGACCCAAAAATTTAACTTCCCTCTAAAAACCCCCAATTTGAGGGGAGCTAAAATGGAAGGGGAGAGGAGGGGGAGGGGACATTTTGGCTTCCCTCCCCTCCCCTCCAACCAAACAAACCCGCGAAGGAGAGCGAATAAGGCGATGTGTAGGATTAATCAATTCTCAATTGAGTTTTCTTTCATGTCCTAGAATTTCAGAACCTTGCTAGCCAGCTAAACCAAGACAAGGTGGGAATGCCCGAAAGAGCAAAATGATTAGGCAAGAGTAGAATTAGGAATAATTATTAGTAGAATTACAAAAATGCTCTTTAGTGTAATTATGAGTTTAAAATTAGGATAAATTAGTAAAATAATAAAATTATATGCACATCTATTCTATGAGATTTAACCGTCTTTTTAATGGTAAAGGGTTAAATGTCAGACAATGAAAGTTGAGGGCGTGATTTTTAAACTTGCAAAGGTAAGAGATGTTGTATGTAAGAGAATTAAAATTAGGAGGAGTTATTTATATTTCGGCCTTTATTTAATTGTAGACCTGTGTTTATACTTCTTGGTGAAATAGATTTCTAGTACAACTGTAGTACTTTATTGGTCGTAAATGATTTAGGTTTTGCAATTAAACTCAATTAATGATGGAATTCTGAAATGGTCATTTTCTTGAATATATATATATATATATATATATAAACACATACATACAATATATAGTAAAATTACAACACAATAATTATTATGTTTTTGACGGTCGAAAACGTTAATGGCGTTAAATTTGAACTTTTAATCTGACAATGTGTTCTGTGAAAAGTTGCTTAAATAAAATTAAGGAAAAAAATACTCAAATATAAATAAAACGGATTACCAGAAAAGAGGAGCTCAAACTATGATGTGTTAATTAAATGATTTGAATATCTAGGAGTTATTAATGTGTGGACAAATAAACATAATCGTCTGTGTCTGTAAATACTAGAGGCAATGTACAAACTCTTCTATAAATGAAATTATCGCCTGTTCCCAACTAATTTAAACTACGTTTCATGGTAAACTTAAAACTGCTAAATTTGTGGTCATGTTTTCTTCACATCTCACATTACCTAGTTTTTTTTTTGGGATTGTTTATGCAAAAAAATTTACACTTTATAATTTTATTTTCATATGCAGGTATGAAACAGAATTCATTGAAAGCATTGCTGATGAAATCGGGTCAAAGTTACTTGATAAATCAGCATCTGATCTTGGCAAGTTAATTGGAATTGAACCAAAATTAGATGAATTGAATTCAATCATAGCAAGGGAATCAGAAGAAGTTGGGTTTATAGGAATATGGGGTGCAGGAGGCGTAGGCAAAACAACTCTTGCTAGAGCCTTTTATGAGCGAGAACGAAAGCGAAAGAGCAAAAACTTTGAGATTCACTGCTTCCTTGATAATATTAGAGAGGTATGTGAAAAAGATGGTTTGATTTCGTTGCAAAGAAAACTTCTTTTATCTTTGTACAAAAGGAGTATAGAAGTGGCTGATTTTTATGAAGCAATGGAGTTAATAAAAAGGAAGTTAACCGACAGAGAAATTCTACTTGTCCTTGATGATGTGAGTCATGTTAGCCAACTTGAGAAGTTGGCTCCAAGGCAAGGATGGTTCAGCAAAGGGAGCATAATAGTGATAACAACAAGGGATAAGCATTTGCTATCATCATATGGTGTATCTGATAGTGCTATATATCACATTGAATTCTTGAGTGATAGCGAGTCCCTTGAACTTCTCATTCAAAATGCCTTTAAAGAAGGGCAACCTAATGAAGATTATTTGAACCTTGCTAGAACCGTCATTGAATATGCTGGAGGCCTTCCTTTAGCACTCGAAGTGTTAGGTTCATTTCTTTGCAAAAGAACGATAGAGGAATGGGAAGATGCACTAGCTAAGTTCGAGAAATGTCTTCCAGAGGACATTTCCAAGATACTTGAAGTGAGTCTTCACGGATTAGAGCTTAATGAGAAGACTATATTCTTGGATATTGCTTGCTTTTTCAATGGGATGGACGAAGATCATATCATACAAATTTTAGAAACATTGGATAAGGATCTTCACCCAAAAATTGGAATAAGGGTTCTTATTGACAAATCACTAGTAATTAATTATGAAGGGCATTTGCGGGTGCATGAAATTCTGCAAAATATGGCTAAACATGTTGTCTATCAAGAATCATCTGGTGATGCCAGCAAGCTTTCTAGGATATTGTCCTTGGATGATGCCAATCATGTATTAGGAGGAAATAAGGTGACGTTCCAAAGTTCTTGTGTTTGTGCACTCTTATAATAATTTATTGCATGGCTTTTATACATTTTTACCTTGACTTGTTGTTTTATAGGGAAGAAGCAACCCGGGGAATAATGCTAACATTAGAAAAGTCATGTGATGCATTTTGGGATCCTGAAGCCTTCTCAAAACTGAGTAATCTCAAGTTACTTATCATTTCAAGTCACTCATATGTTTCACATTGCCAACTGAATCTTCCGCTTGGACTCAAGTCTCTTTCCAAAGAGTTGAAAATCATAGAATGGGAGGGGTATCCATTATTTTATTTGCCAAGTCAACCTCAACTCAATCAACTTGTTGTGCTAAAAATGCGACATAGCAAGTTAAAAGAACTATGGAGAGGAAAACAGGTAACTATAGTCCTTTTATTTAAATTGTTTATCCACAATTTAGTAAATTATAATTATAATTAGTCTCTGGTTTGTGATCTATTCTTTCTTTTTCTTTTTTCCCTTATTGTTAGTCTCTTCGAAGCTTGAAGTCCATTGATCTATCTCATTCAGAATACCTCATCAAAACCCCGAATTTTGATGGAATTCCTCATCTTGAAAAGTTGATTCTTCAAGGGTGTTCTAACTTGGTTAAAATTCACCAGTCTCTTGGGCAACACAAGAAACTTGTCACTGTTGACTTGAAAGATTGCAAAGAAGTTAAAACGCTTCCAGAAAAATTTGAGATGAATAGCTTGGAGACTTTTATTCTATCAGGTTGTTCAAAAGTTAGAAAACTTCCTGAGTTTGGAAAAGATATGACATGTCTATCGAAGCTTGATTTAGAGAAGACTGCTCTAGCCAAACTACCTCAATCGTTGGGTAATTTGATTGGTCTCGTTGAATTAAATTTGACAAACTGCAAAAAGCTGGTCTGTCTTCCATGTAGTGTTAGTAAGTTGAAAGCTCTGAAAGTTATCAAATTGTCTCAATGCTCGAAGTTTTCAAGGCTGCCAGAGAATTTGAATGAAAATGAAGCTTTGGAAGAGCTGGATTTGAGTGGGATTGCTATACAGGGTTATCATTTAGTGACTACAATAGCGAAACACAATCTTCATCATCATGGAGTTGCTTATCCCTTCTTCAAAGGCCTTCAAGCTCCAAAAAGTTTTTGTTGCCGCCGTCTTTGTCGTTCTTGAAAGGATTAAACTTAAGTTTTTGCAATCTCCATGATGGATCACTTCCTGATGACATCAGCATGTTATCATCATTGGAAATTTTAGATCTAAATGGAAACAATTTCATTGACTTACCATCTGGTCTCATTTCCAGTCTTTCGAAGCTTAAAGGTATTGCTCTTTGGAGTTGCCCAAGGCTTCGGTCTTTGCCGCAACTTCCGTCAAATCTATCACGTATAGGGGCTGAAGGTTGTTCATCACTAAAACATTACGGATGTGCAGATCAATTATGGGATTTCATTGAATCATTTCAACCTCAGGTTTATTTTATTTGTCTTTAATTGTTCTTTCACCTCTATCATTTTACTTCTTTAACACGCAAAATTGTTTCTTATAGGTTCACAACCATTTAAATATGAAGTCAGCAATTATAAGAGGGGATTCAGAAATTGTGAGTTTTTAGAATCACCTGTTTTTTTCTTAATTTCTTTGACAATAAATATATAGTTTATTTTACTTGTACGTATATATTGCCATTTCTTACGTGTTAATCAACATACTTCTGATACAAACAATCTGTTTTTTTTTTTTTGCTTTTTTTTGCCCCAGTTTTTTTCCCTCCGTCCACGTTGGCGCTCATTAACAATTCCAGGCAGCAGAGTACCATCATGGTTTTATAATCAAAACTACTTTTGCGCGAAAGAATTCTGGAGGTGTCCAAATAATGTGTCGTTCATAATAAATATATCCCCTGATTATTGTGGTTCACGTGAATGGTGGGGCATAGCCATATGCTTAGTCATAGAACACGATCTCGCATTTGGAAGGGGTGGGATGGAATTTTTTGGAGTTGCAGATTTCCTAATGATGAATTTCCAAACTCGTATTGTTGGCATAGTCTTTATCTACATCCGGCTGAGAGTCCTCTGCTTTATATAAAATATATTCCTTATTCCTCTTTGGTTGTCAATGGACTTCAAATGGTATTTTTCTCTAAGAATACAATGGAAAACAAGTCACCAAGGATGAAAATAAGCAAGTGTGGGTGGCGAGCGGTGTGTAAAGAAGATGTTGAAGCATGGCGAAGAACAGGGGACGAAGGTTGTAGTATCATCAATAACTACGTGAAGATTGATCCAGACATCAACAGTGGAGGTTATAGTCCCCGGCCGAGACCTGATGATTGTATTGTAGAAGTGGATAGCGCCTATTCTCATTCAGATGACAAAGCAGCTTGTGGAGGCATTCTTAAAGATGGCAACAATTGTATGAAGGAGGCTTTTCTTCTGAAATTAAGCGGCGGAGATACCCTCACAGCCAAACTATGGGGTTGCTTGATGGGTCTCAAAAGAGCTTAGGACGCTGGTATTAGAGGTGTTGTCTTGAGAAGCGACTCCGCTGAGGCTGTTCGATTGATCAAATTTGAAGTCCCTGAGACGCACAAGGATATTGCTCTCATCATGGAAATCAAAGGGATGTTAGAGTGGGATTGGTTTGTGGATATCCAGGTCTTTCACAGAGACGGCAATGGCATTGCTGAATTACTTGCTAAAAGAGCACTTAATGGAGCAATGGGTCTGCAAATACTGGGCCCCAGGACAATTATGAAAATATTACAGGCCACTGATGTTAAACAACCCGAAGTTGAGAAAGATGGAGGTTATACTCAATGCTCCAGACATCATGATCAGTCCGTTGTTGAAGAAGATGAGTCTATACTTCCAAGGTACGTAGATCAAGCCTTCTGGTTTTAGATTAAAATTTATATTTTATATTAATGCATGCTTGATGGATATTTAAAATTTTCCTGGATACATTAATTTAATATAATCTATGAAGAAGGTTTTTACGTCATTTGTATGCATTAAAGACTATAGAAAAGGATTCAGGAGGAAGTGTTAATATATATACGATCCAATGGCCGTTGGTCAACTATCCATTATGCATATTCACTGTTCTTGTTTTGTTTTAAGCAAGTGCGAATGGCCTGTGTTGTGTAGAAATGTTCAAAGATGGCAAAAATCCTGTAATGGCCTTAAAAGTAATGTAAAAGACCGATTCTTAATATAAGAGTTAGTTGAAGATTGAATTTGGTCTTACATGTGAGACTGCAATTCACTTTGTCTCCCAAATTTATTATTTTTTCCCCCTAGAAGATCCCTATTGGTCATAAGGCGTCGTTTCCATCAAAGGATAGTTCCAGTGCATATGATTAAAAAAAGTAATTTAAGAAAGTCAATACATATTTGTTATAATTAAGCAACTTAACTAATTTTTTTAATCTCTTCAAATTAGTTATTTAGGTCTCATACTAAAAATCAGAGGTATTAATTATTTAATATTTTGAGTATGTGTTGTAAATTTTTAATAAGGTCGATTGACAGTCTAGGACAAACAATTTTCATGGTTTGCTGTGAGCCCTACCGATGTATGAGAGAAATTTTTATCATTTCAATTACCATGTCTTTACACACACACACTTTGCAATCACCATATTGTCCTTTTTTGCGTGTATATATATGCTTTCATGATATTTTTCTCGGCTTGTTACGTTGAAGGGAGAGGAGAAAAAGAGCGAAGCAACCTATGGAGAATTAGAGAAAGGGGATCTCAGTCGCACTTCCTATCAACCTCCATCCTTCTTATTCACCGCCGTCGGCCTCTTCTTTGCTTGCTATTCTTGAGAAATCATCGTCATTTTTCTCCTCCTGCTGTTGCTGTCTATCACCTTGGTGGTGTGGGGTGAGCAGTTCGCCTCTTGTTTCTTCTTTCCAAGTAAGGAATATAATCATCAAGAGCTGCTTCTTGATGATTCGTTTGAAGCTGGCATTGCTCTGTGTGCGCTCCTCTGTTCCTCCGCATCTCTGTTTTGCTCATTAGGTGTGCCCTCTTTTTATTCTTCTTTAATTGTTTCTGTAAGTGTTAATGTTTGAAATAGGAGAAACGAATTGAATTTGGGTGTCTCAACAAGGAAGGCAAAGCTTTTTCTCCATTTAATGCATTTTTTTTCATTTGGACTTCACTTAATCTATTCTCCTCCTTTTGTCACTTTCTCTATTTTTCTATATATTCTCTTTTATCGTTTTTATTGTTTATTATAAGGAAAAGCAAAAATATATTTCTTAGCTATATATTATTTTTTATTGGCAAAAAAAAAGCTATATATTATTTTTAATTAATTTTAACTAATTTCTAGTTGTACAAAAATTAATTATTTAAATCTTAGAATAAAACAAGACAGAGTACCGATTAAAACAAGGAAGAAGTTCTTTCCGTAAGAATTTATTGTTGCATCGTGTGAATGTGACCCTCCTCCAAATGCCATGTTAAGAATTCCTCTTTTTTTTTTTTAATTTTCTTTTAGGGGGGAATTACTATGAAATTCTAAGTAAGGAATATAATCATTAAAAAGTCCTAATAATAATATAAGTAGCTTGTAACGACAGATAGTAAATGATAATTGCTTACTTGTTATTAAAACTAACTGATAATTTTTTTTTTTTTTAGACCTCATTGTAATTCTTCCTTTCTTCTAATTTTACAGTTTTCTTTCAAATAAAAATGCATCGTATACACTGGTGACATTTATATCTTCTTGAGTCATAAGCTGAGGAGTGATGTTGATCAAAATTTGGATATCAGTTTACGAAACTCAAGGAAACAGTACGAGATGATCGAGATCGTAATTACTATTTTCCCCTAGTCCAATCATGATTCGATGGCAAAGCCTTATTGTGCATCAAGGGAAATAATCCATCAATAAATTTTACATTATTACTTCAACATGGATGCTTAAATCTCTCAAGTTTACGGAATATGATCATTTCGCAAACTCAAAACAAGAAGCAGAGTTTCAAAACTCTTGCTATTTTGCACATAATGTTTCTAATAAATTTGTGATTATTAACGTAGGATAGAAAATATGCATGCCTGCCTGCTATTTTTTTTTATATTCTGAGTAGAGAGGTTTCAAATAGTAAAAGTATAATTATGTGAAAATATATAATAAATTTAATATAATTTCCACACAAAACTACTCGGCACCATTTTTTGCCAATAAAATATCTTTTTTTGCTTGAGTCAGAATCGTGATCACTTTCACAACAAATTAAGGTTAATGACTCAAAATTTGATGTTTTAAATATAATTTCCACAGCACAAAGGCTAGATATTATTAGAGGGTGCAATGATTTTAGCTTGAAGCGTGTCTTTAATAATGATTGATGTGGTGCTTTGTCTTCAAAACCGCAGCTACATGAAGCTGCCATATAAAACGCTCTCATAAGTTTTTAAAAATAAATAAATAAAAGGATCAATTATATATGCTTTAAACAACACAGGGAGTCAGAAACAAGGACACAAACATAAAAGGCAATATTGCTTCATATATCAAGCCCAATACCACCGCAGAAAAAAACCTGATGAACAACAAACACCCACTAAAGAACAGAGTAAAAGTGTAAAAAAAAAAAAAAATTCATCCAATCTGATATAGGTTCTAAGCTAAATCAGGCTCTTGCATGCGAACCTGTTCAATATCTAAGACAAAGGAAAACTAACCACAATCATCCCAATAATGTAGTCTTAAAAATTTTCTAATCCTAGAGTCCCTATGTACACTGTTTAGCTTGTTAAAGCCCTCAAGCCTCAGTCTTTCAGAACAGTTGGGTGACACCTTCTTGGAGGAGTTTTTGGGCTTAATAATGGCTTTGTATAATGGAACCAAGCAAAAGTATATGGTTACTTTGTTTGCCCCTATTTTTTCACCAAAAAAAAAAAGAGGCAAAGAATAATATGGCGAAAGCAAATAATTTCTCATATAGCATATATTCTTTATTCAGTTGAATATTAACACTCCAGTACCCTGTGACAGGAGGAGGAGGAGGAATCTTGATTGTAAGGACCACCGGTGCAAATGGTGATTTATAAGCTTTTAAATTAGTTTTTCTTATGCCGAACAATGTGAGAACCACACTGAAAAAAGAGATAAACTACAAAGACTTTTAAATTAGTTTTTTTTC